AAGTCAAGTAACATAACAATATAAAGTCAAGTAACATTACAATATAAAGTCAAGTAACATTACAATATAAAGTTAAGTAACATTACAATATAAAATCAAGTAATATTAAAATATAAAGTCAAGTAACATAAAAATATAAAGTCAAGTAACATTACAATATAAAGTCAAGTAACATTACAATATAAAGTCAAGTAACATTACAATATAAAGTCAAGTAACATAACAATATAAAATCAAGTAACATAACAATATAAAATCAAGTAACATTACAATATAAAGTCAAGTAACATAACAATATAAAGTCAAGTAACATTACAATATAAAGTCAAGTAACATTACAATATAAAGTCAAGTAACATTACAATATAAAGTCAAGTAACATTACAATATAAAGTCAAGTAACATAACAATATAAAATCAAGTAACATTACAATATAACGTCAAGTAACATAACAATATAAAGTCAAGTAACTTCACAATGTAAATTCAAGTAACATTACAATATAAAGTCAAGTAACATAACAATATAAAGTCAAGTAACTTCACAATGTAAATTCAAGTAACATTACAATATAACGTCAAGTAACATAACAATATAAAGTCAAGTAACTTCACAATGTAAATTCAAGTAACATTACAATATAAAGTCAAGTAACATTACAATACAAAGTCAAGTAACATTACAATACAAAGTCAAGTAACATTACAATATAAAGTCAAGTAACATTAGAATATAAAGTCAAGTAACATAACAATATAAAATCAAGTAACATTACAATATAAAGTCAAGTAACATAACAATATAAAGTCAAGTAACATTACAATATAAAGTCAAGTAACATAACAATATAAAGTCAAGTAACATTACAATATAAAGTCAAGTAACATTACAATATAAAGTCAAGTAACATTACAATATAAAGTCAAGTAACATTACAATATAAAGTCAAGTAACATTACAATATAAAATCAAGTAACATTACAATATAAAATCAAGTAACATAAAAATATAAAGTCAAGTAACATTACAATAGAAAGTCAAGTAACATTACAATATAAAGTCAAGTAACATAACAATATAAAATCAAGTAACATTACAATATAAAGTCAAGTAACATAACAATATAAAGTCAAGTAACATAAAAATATAAAGTCAAGTAACTTTAAAATATAAAGTCAAGAAACATTAAAATATAAAGTCAAGTAACATAACAATATAAAGTCAAGTAACATAACAATATAAAGTCAAGTAACATTACAATATAAAGTCAAGTAACATTACAATATAAAGTCAAGTAACATAACAATATAAAGTCAAGTAACATTACAATATAAAGTCAAGTAACATTACAATATAAAGTCAAGTAACTTCACAATGTAAATTCAAGTAACATTACAATATAAATTCAAGTAACATTACAATATAAAGTCAAGTAACATTACAATATAAAGTCAAGTAACTTTACAATATAAAGTCAAGTAACATAACAATATAAAGTCAAGTAACATTACAATATAAAATAAAATAGGGAAGAGAAATTTATCAATGCAAGAAATGTTATTCAATATAAATACATATTATAATAAGCTTGGAATAAGGTTAGAGTATTATATATTGTTAAAGTAATAACATTATAAAGTTAAAGTAATTCACAAATTGAAGTTAATGAAGTTAATTACCTAATACAGTTAAGTATTTTGCAGAATAAAGTCAAAGTAATTCATAAATTGTAGTAAAGTTAAAGTAATTTGCAGAATAAAGTCAAAGTAATTCATAAATTGTAGTAAAGTTAAGTATTTTGCAGAATAAAGTCAAAGTAATTCATAAATTGTAATAAAGTTAAGTAATTTGCAGAATAAAGTCAAAGTAATTCATAAATTGTAGTAAAGTTAGAGTAATTTGCAGAATAAAGTCAAAGTAATTCATAAATTGTAGTAAAGTTAGAGTAATTTGCAGAATAAAGTCAAAGTAATTCATAAATTGTAGTAAAGTTAGAGTAATTTGCAGAATAAAGTCAAAGTAATTCATAAATTGTAGTAAAGTTAGAGTAATTTGCAGAATAAAGTCAAAGTAATTCATAAATTGTAGTAAAGTTAGAGTAATTTGCAGAATAAAGTCAAAGTAATTCATAAAGTAGTAAAGTTAAAGTAATTTGCAGAATTAAGTTAAAGTATAGTTAAAGTAATTTTGATCAGAGTAAAGTAGAACAGAAGAAAGGAATAATGTTTCAAAATAATAAAGGAGTAATTTACAAATTATATCTCAAATGTTTCTAACATAACGACCGTTTATTTCCAGTATTAAAGAAAAAGACGAAAAGGAAAGAATGAAATTACCCTCAATTACCAATCGAGTTAAACAACATAAACATGGTGTCAAGGACTGTGACTGCCCAGATTGTTCACAGAAGAAAGCAAGAAGTAAAAAGAGGAATAAATTACCTAAGATAAAAGGTGCTGATGGAGAATCTGATACGGGTGAGATGAGTTTAGGAAACACAATGCATGACTATTATGGGATTGTAACGAGTTTTGGCTTTTTTATGCTTATGGTGGGTAGTGATGCATCGATTTGCACCATTCAAATTTTCAGTTGCTCTTACTAGTGGGGGTACATGGGATTTGGCTATTTGAATTGAATCGAATTGAAAAATTTGATTTTTACAAGTTGTTGCCTCAAAATATGTGTTATAATTTTCTTTGGGATTGCCCTCTAAGACGCCCTATAGGAGGCTTGTGCATATGGCGCTTTTACAGAGCTGCCACATTTTGAATCTCAACTTTGACAGTTGTCCACCATTAAATCAGATTGTACCTATTTGTACCCTTGTCTCAGGTGACTGCCAACTTTTATCTTTATCACGATTCTAAAGATGGAAATATATATTCTATATTCATAAAGCATTCAGCGTTAGATGTAACAATACAATTTTTATAAGGAAAAGAATCAAAGCGAAGATGTTTGAGCTCTTCGAGCTTCCTTTTGATCCAGAGAACCAATTTGACTATTTGTACTATTTATTTTCCAGAGGATTATTCGTATGAAAGTAATAAATTGCAATGGTTATCAGAGCAACAACAAGAAAAGTTATACGTATTCCCTGGTTATATACCACCAAGACTCATTGTAAGTCAAATTAAGGTAGACTCTCGATTCAAAACTGCTTATCTGAGCGCTCATTCCGAGAAATTGGCAGACTATTAGCATTAAAAATCCGTTCAAGCAAAACAATTCCAGTAACCACAAATCTCGTCCTAAGCATGACTAAATCGGGAGTAATAATTCTACAAAAGTGGACTTCTCAAACTCAGAAATACCATTAGGTGTTTCGGAAAGAGTGAGCATGATCTGCCTCGTGCACGACACTCGCCACAACTGAAATCGTGAACTGGATTCCGATTGTGCAGAAAGAAGATCAGATTTAAAATTTGTGTATACCTAGGCTCGTGTATGGTATTTTACCCGGAAAGCTTTCTGTCCTGAGAATAGAACATGGGCAACGGTTGGAAACATTGAATTTTCGGTCGTCGTTGCGACCAGGTTGACTAAATCCAGGGATTTAACAGATTCTTCCAGACACCACCGGTTGCGTACAGCAGTCGTTGAAATTCAGTTGCTTTCAGATTTTGCAAGTCGAAAGTCGACCTTAGCCACCCTTTAATATATCAGAAAAATTATATTTTAATAATCCGTGCTTAAAGAAATATGGGAATAAGGTCCATTTACTTTACAAAAAAAACGTTCTCAAATTTCTCACATATTAACTAATTATATTCATTAGTAACATTCATATGTAGGATGCACAGGAAATAACATACATAATTTTGCATTAGTTCTGCATGAATTTGTATTGTCCACAATGCAGGGCGTTGTCCCATTGTTCCTAAAAAAAAAGTATTGAGTCACACACCCGTCATATCTCAAATTTATTTGTTCTAAAAATGCTTAGTAAAAGTTTATTGTGATATTATGCTAGAATGAATTAATGTTTCAATACTTTCCAAAATACCACAAAGATCATAATGTTATGCAAACAATATCTCACACATACATTACGTTATGTACATGGCATTTCTCTTGTATATCTAAAGCGAATCGTTTATATTCCAGTTGATGTCTTCCAAATTGCATAAAATACACGGTGTAGAGAACATGATAAGAGAAGATACAAAAGGCATTATACCTATTGAATATGTAAGTCAACCTTCGGGTTTATTTTAACTAGTATTAGGGTTATTTAGACGAGTCTCAATAAAAGCACCGGCGTAGGTCACAAAGCAATGGATATCTAGTGTTAAAGTGTTTAACTACCTATATGTATTATTTTTTTTTAAAGAAAAGTACAGTTTAGGAGTACATGTAATTCAAACATAGCAGCAGGTTCAATGTCAGCAAGTTGTGACCGAAACTGAAATTTGAATATGATCATGACTATCTTAACTATTTTTAAATCTTCTAAATCATAAATATTGGATTTTGAAGACACCGCTGTCAATCTGATGTTATTTTGTTTTTTTAGGATTTTGCTAAATGGACATTTACAGACTTAATCGGTTAGTATAGTTTTATATTTCTGACGATTAAGCTACACCGTTACCCTATTGAGCAATAGTACGCTCCAGATAGCTTGAGGGGACCTTTTAGAAACTAGTCTTTGATAGGTTTCAGAGTTATTAATAAATTTAGGATGAAATTTTAGGGTTAAAAGCTTAAGTTACTAAATTAACTAGGAATTACAACTAGGCATTGACTTTTTCAGATGCTGTACATAAAGCATTGAATGACTACCACTTTGGAAGCAGAGCGAGATCTATATTATTTCTGTGTCAGGTAAGAAATCATTAGGGTATTATGCTGTTGTCACAAAAAGTTGAAAGTTTTCAATAAATAATCAAATGAGGATATTTTCCAAGAAGACAATCGATGCGTCCAGTCAGAATACCACATTCTTCTGACTCAATTGAAGTCTCACAATCTTGACTAAATGGGCAATTGAGTGTGTTTTCCACGTAGGAATATTTATGCGTCCATTTAAGTGTTCCAGAAGATTAACCATATCCTCTTAAATCTAATATAAGAACTTGATGTTACAGGGTGGACCAGGTTACGCTTATATTCTGAGAAATTTTGTAGCTACACCACAGAAATTACGACGAAAGGATTTCAAACCGTTAGTACAGTAAGTTATCTAAATAAAATTAACTACACGATTTGTAGTGCAAATCCACAACATTACTCTATACTGCTTTGCTGAATGCCCATATAGTCCACAGCTTATAGTCACTAGCCAATCTCTTTCGGTGATTTAATTTTTAGATTGATAAACGGTGTTGTATTTCATTGAATTATCTCGTACAGTCTTTATTGATAAATGTTTTCCAGTTTCTTCAGAAAGCTGGGATGTTATTTAAGTAAGTTAGACCATGAGGATACTGCTATACATTTTCTTGGATTTGATATGGAGGATAATAAACAAGGAAAAGACGTGAGTATCGGGTTTTATTAGCATTATCTCCCAGAAACAATAGTCAGTGCCAAAAATTTCAAAACATTCGAGTCGAGTCGAGTGGGCAAACTGCGGAAAGATCGCCCCATGATAATACAACTGAGTAAAAATTTACTACCGGAAGTAATCAAGTTGTGATACTGAAAATGATCAAAATATAGAGGAACATGTTGATCTCCTGGTATGGATACACTTGGGTAGAATACACAAGTTATATAGTGATTTTATTATATACATTAATTATCTTGTTATCTATGGTAGCTTCAAATAATTGGTATAGTTCAGATAGCAATGTAGTCTAGAAATAGGTACTATTTGGAATCATCTCCTTTCTATTAGCAGTAGAGCATCTCAGCATAAAACATATTTCTATATCGATGTCTTGGTTATCTCCCCTTAAGCATACCCCAAAGTGAGTTGAAACATTTTTTATCCATGTATCGTCAAGCCATGCGAGACTCTAAAATATATTTGACTGTGAGATTAACTATGAAGAATACAGATCTAATATAAAGTTGTAAATATATTTCAGCTGATAAAGACAATCAAACAGAGTTTATTACCCAACCAAGCAATGGTTGAAGCACCTAATGAAAATACAGCTGAAGGTAAGTAAATTATTTTCATCGTTGACATAGTGCACAATACATCAAGTAGGGCAACTAGTAGTAGGTAGTAACAGTAAAAGTTATATGGGCGATGAAAGCGGCCCCTTCGCATATTTCAAATTGACAAGGGTTTGTCGGGATTTAAAAAGAATTGCTAATCAAAGAACAAATTGAATAGCAAAGGGGGTATTTGAACTCGTATTTTACAATTCGTTTGAATAGTACCTTAATTCCAAGTTGATATGGTCATTGTTTTTTATTTTCGACACATACTTTTATCGTGTTTTTTATTGTTAATCAAAATCCCGTCCAAAATATGTCAAGATTATTAAAAGTTGTATAGTAGTACTCTCCAAAGAAAAGTACCGTCACATTAGTCTTCCACAATTTAGTTTAGATAGGGTCATTGTTTTATACATGTCTTTTGTTATTTCAGAGAGAGCTATAGCTATCTTGTATTTTAATCCTAAAGAATATTATGCGTGGAAAACTGGTGATGAGATAGAAGAGACGCCGAGATCGTGGTCATCTTTAGCAGGTAGAATAGACTGAGTGCAATAAAACCACAATCTTAGTAATTATATAAATTAGTTGAATTCCAATAGGTTATACAGCGTAAAATAGTAGTAATATATTAGCCACTCAGAATTTAAGGTAATGAAATTTGCAAATATAGGAATTTAAATGTGGCAGAGTTCAATAATGTTTCGATGGTTGTTAATAATTAACTGCTCATTATATATGTATATAGTTGTTTTCGATGTAAATAGCCCAGTCCTACATAGCCCAGTCCTACGCTGACATTTGTAAAATAATACTGTCTTCCATAACATTTGTCAATTTGATCAATATATTTCACATAGCGCCTTTGTGTTTGTTGAACATAAATTGTATTTTGTATTAGTAATTGTATTTTTGTATTATACAAATGGGTAGTGCTGTAAATTAAACTGTATTAGAAATTTGCAGGTGTGATCCTTTCTCAACTTGAAGCTAAGTTAAGATAGATAGAGACTGTTACATCTACAATTTTACCACTAGCAGGACTGTTTCAGCAGTGAAATGCGCCTTGCTTTTTGATAATGTTTCAAATGAGTCAACTGATACAACTTTTACTCTAGACTTTGCCATGCTTTGGGGGAGATTTTGATTAACGAAATTGTACGGTTTTTTTTATGTCAATGGGTAGTTATTTTTAAAGGAAATTTACCATAAAATGATTACTACTAGGCATTATTCATTTACATATATTTACAAACAAAATAAAATACAATAATTGTAAACAAACATACAAATGATAATATACAAACATCAAAATTTTACCCTTATACAATTCTTATACTATTAACAAATATGTAAAACTTAACAGAGAGCTGATTTGAACATGATTCAAATCTATTTATAGGCTATAGATTTTCTTCAATAAGTCAATCAGCCAAATCTTTATCCCCAATCAGGATGGATCACATAATCATGTGGTGTAGGTTCGTGTGGTCTGGTGTACATAGAACTGGTATTATTAACAGGGTCCCAATCTTTATACTGGGGTAAATGATGCCATGTAGCATGCATCCATCTATTATTACGAGTTTCAGCATCTTGAAGTCGAATATATTTCATTTTAGAACACAGATCGTCTGGCTCGTCACCTCCATGTTTTCTGAAATAAAATAAAAATGTTAAGTGTTTTAACATTGTAAAAAAGTGGACCTTATCGGGATAAGATCAATGCTAATAGGTTTGGCCAAGGAGAAAGGGTGCTTAACTGTGAGCCTAAGATGTTATTCTTGTCAAAACGTAAGATGCTTTTTAACATTGCAAGATTCGTCTCCAATTTCGGAGTTACAGTATCTTGTGATGGAAAAAGCAACCACATTGACTGTTCCATCTTACCTAACTTACCTTCTTATTAATTTCAAGATTCCCTCAATTCTAATCTGTTTCTCTGTATCAGGTAAATTATTATTGTCTAATGTAGCAAACAGTTTAATAGCCATTCTGCGGTCTGAAATTACAACATGAAACATTTATTATACCCCTTTAATAGATATTGTTCTGTTCGTTTTAAAAACCAATTTCGGCCGATAACTTAGGTCATTTACACAGCTAAAATGTAATAACCTTAAAAACAAAAATCGAAGATATTTGAGTAAAAGAACAGGTGGGCTATTAAAGAGTAACAAACAATGAAAGTTTAATAATGGAATAAATGGATACATTTCGGGATGTTATTTGTAGATGTATAATGACACTAAATATCCTCCTTGATCTTAACTGAAATACATATGAAGCCTCTTCTGATCATCAATTCAGAATAAAAAGAACAAATAAAGATCTCCTACCGGCTTCAGTGGCAGATTCCAACCATTTATCCACCATTTTCCTGGCTTCTGGATCTAAAGTTTTCCTAATCCTATTTACCATGATGTGTTTTTGGTCATCATGTGTTCGTAAGGCTTGAGCTTTAGATTTCTTAGTAACTTTAGCCTTTTCTTCTTCTGCTCTCCAAATATCTACACTGGGCTTTTTCTACAATTTAATCAGTTAATCTATTTGTCAATTTTATTTTTAGGTTCGGGAATCAGATTGATTTTTAAGGAAAAGGGATTGTTGGAGGTTAGTCTAATAAACCAACATGCACATCATAAAGCTAAGATCAAAGATTATAGAAAGAACTGAATGATAACAAATAATCTTGAGATTAACTTCGTAAGTTGCATGCTAAAATAACTCTTAAAACCATAGAGAAGTCAACTTAATTTGATGAGGCCATTAGAAAAATTCTTCAATTTCAAATCCAAAGAGACTGGTTGAACCAAGTCCACGGGCCTCCACCATAACGGGGCACTCACACCCACAGAAGAAAATGCAAGATAGCATCAATATGTTACAAAACTTCCCGGAGAATGGGACGCAACCCACTAAAGTCCACGGTCTACCACTCATCTAGTTCAGCCACTGAGAGGCAAAGGACCTGACTTACCTCCCGAAATAAACGAGCACTCTGAGCGGGTGTACCAAGAGCTCTGGATGGTGTTCGTTTCGGTCTGCTGCTCATGTGGGTAGCCGGTCTTATTTGATCTATATGTTTTGATAAATTTATTTCTGGTACTGAAAACAGACAGTTGAACAAATTGTATTTGATAAATAGCGAATGCGTCATTGCTAAAAACCTAGATTGGCGATTGGCGACTTTAAGGTTTTAGGGATACATTGATAGTATATTGAATGGAGAACCAAGGGCATCGAGGTTATTTATCATGCTCCTACTTCCGCGATGCCATGTTATAAACAAAGCAGATCATCATTGTACGGAGCCCATACGTAACCAATGGGTTGTTCAAAAGGTTAATGGGGTTACAAATGATTACACAGAATTTATTTGAAATTAGATGAAAAATATGGTCTCCTTTGTGCTCACATACAAATTGTAAATTTAAGCTTAAAATCACAGGAGAATCAGCCTTACTTTACTCCTAGGAAGTAACAGGGACATAGTCAATTATTGGATTTACCAACTGATAGACTAAATATTATTTTTCATTTTCAGAATTAAAACGGAGGGTTCGATTACCGGTCGGATTTCCAATCTGGAAAGTTCAAGCGCTAATAATTAGTCGTCATTGAAGATTTGTTTTGGGTTCAATGAAATGAATTGGAGGAGAAATAATGGACAACTAATGGACACGAGTCTGAGTAATATCCTACTGCTTGTAGCTACTCAAGAAATAGCGCTTAGAATTATCAGAAATTAGTCAGCTAGAATACTAACGTGTGGAATGTCTGGCTAGTTTTTCTGGTTCCTGTAAGGACTGTCTAGATGGCACCACACTCGATCTGTCTGAAATTCAAAATAAAACAGATTAGTTATAGTAATAATTTTCTTAATTTCAAATTCATTTGAGTTTCTATCATCGGCTGGAAAGTATTTGACAGGCATATATTGACTATTTGACTATATAATTTGATAATCATACAATATATGATACATAATAGGCCTACCTACAATATGCAATCTTAAAAATACTATCCGCGAGAAACTATAACAGGATACAATGTGTATAAAGGACTAAATTATAACACCAAAAGTAATTATATTTTTTTCATATTTGGTGAGTTTGGTTGGACGGACTAGGTTCAGCAAAAAGATCATATCAATGTTGAACTGCAGAAGCATCATTTGGAATGTAAAGTTTTCATTTTTTGTAGATTGTAGGCTTTTCATTTTGACTGACTTCTGGATATTGGAAACCTATTTCTACCGCAAATAAATGAAATTCAATTAAATAACAACACATAATTTTCTATCTTCTTCTCGTCCTTTTCGGAACTATTTACCCAGACCAATCGAAAACATGCGTTCTAAACATTCTTTCACATGAACGAAATGTATCCGCAATTTTACGAAATATTCACTGAAATTGAATGTTTGACGTACTGTAGTCCATTAACCTTTATATCAGACGAAACAAATAGGCCCGAACTAATGTATTGCGTGATTTGAAATCAAGATAGTTAATTTAGTGTACTAAGTCAATCCGTCTCAAAACATTTCCTTCGTTAATTTTCTATGCCATATTTATTTCGACTATAGAAAGTACATCTTCACAATGCCAAGCCAATACGAACTTTACGTCTAATGTTAAGCTATTACGAACTGATTCTGATACATTGACTGCAATAGCCACCTTACTTGTATCGGAAACGTTTTTAAATGTTGCGATTCGATTGGATTGTACGTAAGCGAATACAGCATTGTAAACAATAAGTTATAAAGTTGTTAGTCTTTCTTACGCGGGCTCTGAATGGCTGCAAAATCCAATCAAATCGTTACATTCCGTGACACCAGAAAGGTGGCTATTGCAGTCAAGGTATAAGACACAGTTCGTAATAACTTGACATCGTGAAGGTGTTAGAAGTACGAATTGATTTTACCTAATTTTTGTAAATTATACAAACAATTTGAGCTAATCAACTGTCTCGGATAATAACTTCTAAAGTGTAATGGTGCGATAGTAATGTTGGTCAAACGAAGTATCTCATGCTGTTACGCCACATCAAATTACGGTATGTCTTAATGACGCGTTTTCCAATATCAGGAAATATCTAAAACGTTATTTCAATTCGCTTTAAAGTATTCGAAAAATTTGACTTTTTTGATTTTTACGATTGTGACGTCATCTGCTCCTTATTCCTAAAATTGTAATGGCCGAAATATGCAATATGATTGTCCTTTTTGCAATGACAACTTTGTAACAAGGTCATTTTGACAGAGACCACTTTGTAACAAGGTCATTTTGACAGAGACCACTTTGTAACAAGGTCATTTTGAGAGAGACCACTTTGAAACAAGGTCATTTTGACAGAGACCACTTTGTAACAAGGTCATTTTGACAGAGACCACTTTGTAACAAAGTCATTTTGAGAGAGACCACTTTGAAACAAGGCCATTTTGACAGAGACCACTTTGAAACAAGGTCATTTTGACAGAGACCACTTTGAAACAAGGTCATTTTGACAAAGACCACTTTGAAACAAGGCCATTTTGACAGAGACCACTTTGAAACAAGATCATTTTGACAGAGACCACTTTAAAACAAGGCCATTTTGATAGTGACAACTTTGTAACAAGGCCATTTTGAGAGTGATAACTTTGAAGCAAGGTCATTTTGATAGTGATAATAATGTCACAAAGTAATTTTGAGAGTGACAACTTTGTTACAAGGTCATTTTGATAGTGACAACTTTGTTACAAGATCATTTTGATAGTGACGGATAGAGGTCAATATGACCTCTGAGAGCTCAGATAATACCCTCTACTCTCCACGTATGTTTAAGGCTTTGTGTGGCACTAACCTCTCGACGACGGACTCTCTAAGATTCTGGCTGGTATCTTCCACTGCATGAACATCTGAAATGTATAATAAAATTCTTAACAGGAAGTGAAAAGATCATCAACAACGTAGATAACATAGAAGAACACTGTTTTAAAAAATGTTGTAGATGAGACAGGCATATTTTCATTTATATATTTAAAGTTAATAAATGGGGCCTTTGAGACATATATTATTTCACAATGTATAATATTGCGAAATAACTCTTGGTAACATATACTTGCATAGTCTTGTATTAATGCAACCAGTATAAATCACTGGGTTCCAAAATTCAATCCAATTGGACCTACAAGGCGTATCTTATAACGAACGATTGGAGGCATCAATGATGGTTAAGACAAATCAAGAATATAAGCAAAAAACTGTGTATTTGAAATACTCCTTATTTTAGCATAAAAACACTGATATGCGATGCTTCATCTGGAGATTGTACGCATAAAAACAAATGTTGCAAGAGATTCCCTTCAATAATGTTTACGTCCATAGGCTCAACATTGTGAATGGGGATCGTGGACTTGAGTGGGTGGAAGCTGTTCTCCCTTGTAAATAGTTTTTAACATATGCTCTCCTGCTATTTTTTTTAGTGGTGGGGGCTCGTGTACTTGGTTTAACAAATCCCTGGTAGTTGAGCCACTGTAGTAGCATTGTGTTCAGTGGCGGAGCCAGGTTTACGTTCGAGGAGGGGGGGGAGGGCGAAATATCTGAGATTGCCCGAATTTCTAACCCAGTTATAAGATTTTTGCCCGAAAAACTTGATTTAGGGCTGCTGACCCCTCTGCCCCCACTGATTCTGTTCATCTACAGTATGTAAGAACAGTCATGTCGTTGAATACGTTACAGTAAAAAAGTGTACTTCATTAAAAATCTTACCCTGAAATATTAATTTATCCAACTATTCAATCAAGATTATTATCTGTTGGTTATTTATTTCTAATATCCGAATTCATTTACAGTTAATATTAAATCGTCTTCAAGATTATCTTTCAAACTTTAGATCGTAACTATAGAGACTCGAGTGATAACAGGCCCCTTCATAGATTATTCAATAGTTCGACCTTACATGCCAAAATACATGTAAACATATTGATATCCATATAATGATTTTAAAAATTTGGCGTATTTGGTTTACTATCAAATTTCTTACCTAGATTAATCTACTATAGTTCAAGTTGAAAACACGAATAAGAGGATTTGTTTTAAGGTGATCTTATCTATTGTAGTCCCGTATGTCACACATGATATTTTCAGAAGATATTATTAATTTGGTTTCTAATCCGTATAATTTTACACTTGAACAAAGCTAAGTCAAGTAAATCGTAAATATACAGTACTGTGTCTTATATTTAACTCGATTAAAGAGACTATAATAGTGATATTGTGGTGATACTCTTTAGTACCACAAAGATTCTCATCTCGTGTGAAATTCCACAGAATACATTCAGTGGTGCACGATGCATTATTTGCAAAACAAAAACTCAGAAACAGCTAGTTTAAAACAGTAAGCTTTCAGCAACAGAGCAGTATCAGCAAGTTTGGAAACTTGGAAATTGTATGCACAATACCATGTTATAAACTGAGAAATTGTCATTCATAGAAGGGTAACTATGCCTTTGTTGCATTTAACAGGTAATGTTTTCTACATAGTTATCGCACTAACCCTTCCCCCTTATCATCATTACAAACATCCTTTCCGTATTTAAACAATTTCACCATTTCGGGGGTTGATTTTAGCCTTGAATATATGTAAATAGTCTTCAGAAGTACTAGAAATGTTCGAAAACTGCATAAATCCCCCAAAAATACCTCAAACTAGTAATTTCACTTTGTATTATTGTATATTTCTTTGCTTTACTTTGCATGACAATTCGTCAATTTAACATTCAAACAAGGATAATTCTGGATACACATGGAATAATTCTCGTTTCTGAGACTAACGTGCGATTGGTTAAAACCTGTCCCTTTAATTAGAGGTATCTTTTAATTTTGAGGAAGAGATCTTAAGAAGTCTTTTGGCTAACTGTACGTTAAGAAAAAGGTCTGATATGAGTATTTATTTTGTTTTGATTAAAATAACCCGTGCTACCTTTTGGTTCGCTGCCTTAAATGCTATATTTCAAATATCTAAATGATGATATATTGTGAAAATTAACCCTTAATTAAAGAAAAGGACTATAATTTATTAGGTCCAACCCTTCAATCATTCCGATCATAAATCACATCATGACACTGTAGATGCAATATTCTTCATTGATTATCGACCACTTCTCTAATGGTGGACATAAACATAACATAACAGATCTTGTTACAAAATATCTTAGATTTTATGGACATTTTTGAATCGTGGTACAAACAATATTTAGTTAAGAAAGAATATTTGTCTTTTGTAGTGTGTCAACAACTATTGGCATGAAACTTGTGAGACATTTAAGAAACTAACAGTTACAAAATTCGGGATTGGACATACTGTGTTCATGAAACTAGCGTCACGATATTTAAAAGTTAAAAAAAGTAAGAAATGACGTCACGATACTTGACACAGTTCTCAAGAAACGGTTTAAGGCTTAATTTCGCCATTTTTCTTGACCAATCGTACCTTTGTCACAGAAACGGGATTTTGTTTTTGCTAAACTTATCAGTAATAGTGATCACAGGTTACTGTCGAAATTTGAGCCTTCAAATCCATGTGTGTCCAGAGTCATCGGCGTTTGAAAGTTAAAAAGACGAGTCGTCTTTTCTTGAGACATCTAGAGAAACAGGAAAGGAAATTCCTACTTTTAGATATTTTTGAAGGAATAATACGATTTTCGTACATTTGTAGTACCTATGAAGACTATTTACATAATTATATTCACGACTAAACTCAACCCACAAAATGGCGCATCTGTCCCATTAAGTAGGACATTTTTAAAAACCGTGTTACTAATTCCCTGACCAAAGGACTTTACTATCAACTGTCGCCTAATAATTTAATTTCCTAAATCTTTCAACTTAAATGTTTACTTTGACAGGATAATTCTCTCTGTCAGTTAAACTAGGATTATCTACAGGATGTGGGAATCAAATTATAATTTAAATCAGTCTGTTCTATGTAGACAATTTAGGTCTATATCAAGGCCAAACAAATAAGGTTAATAGTCAGAATTATTTCTGAATTCTGGTAATTTCAACGATTTTCTTCATGACCATAACAGTCGCCATACAATTTCGGCAATGGCGGAGTTAGTTTATACCCCAAAGTGTACACCCACTTTATCTTTTTGATTCTTATACGTTTTTGCCCCAAAATATGTGTTAAAATGCACCAAATCAATTCAATATTAGCGCTTTCATATTCCAGTATCTAAAATCCGCATCGATAAATAGGCTATAGTCACAATTCATAGTTTTTGCATTATCTCTTTTAAAATGTGATTTTTAATTTAAAAAATTTGTAATGTAATTAACTTCATTTTTTAATGGCTCAATTTTCGAATTAAAATTTATAATGAAAAGTGAATCCGTATCTTCATTGGAACATCTCGACAAAAAAAGGAAGTAAACAGACAAAAAATGTAATTACTGGTTGCGTGTAGACTACAATAGTATAACTTTAATATAATTATTAAAAACTCGCATGTCTTTCGAACTGAAAGGTCGATTAGATTATAAAAACAATGATATGATTGTAAATTGATTACTATAAGGAACCGTAATGATCTGATATACAGTTACACAGAAAAGGCAACTTTAATCTTATTCAATACTGTGTTCTGAATTGAGATGAAGTTCGCTTTAAAATTAAAACTCAGCCAATCAAATCCTCTCATTAGTAACTGCATTCTAGGTCTTTGCTTTTTGAATCATGGTATTCCCTATAAACTCGTTATTGGCTCAAATATATCGTTGAGAAGAGTTTAGGTCCTCCTTTACTGCTCCTGATTTCGGTTAATGAAGATATACAATTTCAACATGCGGAAGTGACATCGACGACAGGTTGCCGTGACTTTTTCCAGACCGAGCAGATATAACCAATTATAAAATCAAAGTAGGCCTTATATTTTTAATATGGGTAGTTGAAGTGGAGTTTTATAAGCTAAAAAAGCAAAACCATACAACTATATCTATTGGATACCATCCAATGTTCATTGAATTTTACATTATTAGCAGACAATGAAAGGACCTTCCATGGGCTATTACAGCAAGTCTACATTATCTCGTATTACTTAACATGGTTTGACTAGCGCTTGAAATTAGATTTCCAAGACATTATATAAATATCTTAGCCTACAGATATACTTTATTTCTATCAAGTTCACTTTTTTCTGCTGTATAGTTAAGTAAGGTTAATATTATTATGTAGAACATTAATCTTGTCGATCACGGTTTGAAGAAATTCTTCAACCTGCAGATGCTTGAAGATAATGTTGGGTGAGTGATCTTTTGAACTAATATTATAAACCCATGGTGGAAAATCGCTTCGCTTCAGGGTATTCTACGGCCCGCCTTTTTCTTTCTCGGGCTTTCTTACTCGGTAAAAATTTGCCCTGTCATTACCCTATATTTATGCTGTACTGAAAGTAATGTCGATATTATTTCAAGAAGAAATCAACCGAACAAAACCCTGGTTGCTATTCCTATAAGCCATGGGTAAATGAAGCTACAACTTTCATTTTGTTTTAGAATTGTGTAATTCAAGGCAGTATACTGATTGAATTCCGACACTGTATGCTGTGTGTCTTAAATAATAATCACGGTATTTAATACTTGTAATATGACTATATGCGATATTGACTTTTTCTGAAGACAAGGAAGAATTATCATTGTGAAGTAGACTGTATAATTATTTCATATAATAACAAATATATAATATATAGACCTACTTTAAAAATTAAAGGTAGATAAATAATGTTTACAGTCATATAGGGTTCTCAATTAAACGAAGCCAACAATCATCTAGTGATGGTGATTAGGACAAGAAGACAAGACTAAACGTCGTGTTATTTACAGAGAATATACAGTTAATGAATTTTGGGGCGGTTGACATGTGGATTTATCAACCAAAAGGATGTTATATATTGACTGAGGCCAATGGTCTGTACGCCTTGTAAAGATTAAACGCTATGTTCTGTATAGATGAAACACCATGTTCTATACAGATAAAATGTCTCGTTCTGTACAGATTAAACGCAATATTTTCTGTACAGAGAAAACGCCATATTTTCACAGGGCCTTGTTCTGTAAAGATTATACGCTATGTTCTGTACAGATAAAACGTCATGTTCTGTACGGATAAAACGTCATGCTGTGTACGGATAAAACGTCATGTTCTGTGTACAAGTGGGCGTCGTAGATAAGGGAGGTAACCTTCAACCATTATAAATAATCTATTAAAAGCTTTGTTTTTGATAAATCTTACCTGGGCAGGATCTGTGTTTCCAGAAAATAAGATACCTTTTACTGTTTCACGCTTCTT